GACTGGCAACTGGCAAATGGAGCGCTCGTTCCGCGCAGCTCTGAGCGAGGGGGCGGCACCTGAGCGTCGCGGGGTCGCTGACCGAGCGCGCGCTGGCCCGGCGCAGGCCCCGACGAGGGGGCGCGCCGACCGCGCGCCCGCGCATGGAGGGCACGCCCCGCGCAGCTCTGAGCGAGCGGGCGGCGCCTGAGCGTCGCGCGACCGGGCGCTGACGCGTAGAGGGCGCGCTCGGCACAGCACTACACGAGGGGGCGGCACCTGAGCGCCACAGGTTGCTGAGCGGACCTGACGCGCAGTGGCCCGGCGCGGGCCCCGGCGAAAGGGCGCGGGTCGACCGCGCACTTGGACTTGGAGGGCACGCCCTGCGCAGAACAGACGAGCGGCTCCCGGGCGTCACAGGGCTGCCCAGCGCAATTAAGCGCGCGCAGCGCGTTGGCGCAAGCCCCGAAGAGGGGGCCGCCGCGCAGGGGGGCCGGCCGCGCGCCCGCGCCCGGCGCGCGCACTGCGCCGTTTGGCGCGAAAGACGGCACCTGGGCGTCGAGGAGTTGCCCGGCGCAACTGAGCGCGCGGCGCGTCGGCGCAAGCCCGACGGCGGGGCGCGGACCGGCCGCGCACCAGCGCCAAATGCACGCCCCGCGTCGCCCCGCGCGAATACGGGCGGCACCTGGGCGTCGGCTGTCTGGCGCCATGGGGCGCGCAGCGCGCAGCGACGGCCCCTGCGACGAGGCGCGAACTCGCCGCTGCGCCGGCGCCCAGCGCGCGCCGCGCGTTCTTTCAGAACGGCGCGCGGCGCGCGGGCGACACAGGGCTGCCAGGCGCGCGGCGCTCCGGCGCGGGCGCGGCCCGGCAGGCCGCCACGCACCAACGTTTCACGCCTTTCTGCGCGAACGAGCACTACCTGGGCGCCGCGGGGATGCCTGGCGCAATAAATTGCACGGCAAGACGGCGCGGGCCCGACGAGGGGGCGCGGGCCGGCCACGCAATGGCACAACATGCACGTCCCGCGCCGCTCTGCGCGAACGGGCAGCATCTGGGCGTCGCAGGGCTGCCGCGGCGGACGCGGGCCCCGACGAAGGGGCAGGCCGCGGCGGCGGGGCGCGGGCCAGCCACCCACCGGCATCAGGCGCGTTCATGACCGGGATGGTTTCGCGACAAGCAGCTTCACGACAAGGAAGAGACAGATTCACGACAAGCAAGCCCACGCTCGCCGCCCACTTTCGGCGCCCACTTTCGCCGCCCACTCCCGGCGCCCACTTTCGCCGCCCACTTTCGGCGCCCACTTTCGCCGCCCACATCCGGCGCCCACTGTCGCCGCCCACTTTCGGCGCCCACTTTCGCCGCCCACTTTCGCCGCCCACTTTCGCCGCCCACTTTCGCCGCCCGCTTTCGGCGCCCGCTTTCGGCGCCCACGCTCGCCGCCCACTTTCGGCGCCCACTTTCGCCGCCCACTCCCGGCGCCCACTTTCGCCGCCCACATCCGGCGCCCACTTTCGCCGCCCACTTCCGGCGCCCACTTTCGCCGCCCACTTTCCGGAAGTGGGCGCCGAAAGTGGGCGGCGAAAGTGGGCACCGAAAGTGGGCGCCGAAAGTGGGCGCCGAAAGTGGGCGGCGAAAGTGGGCGCCGAAAAAAGTGGGCGGCGAAAGTGGGCGGCGAAAGTGGGCGCCGCGCGAAAGTGTGGGCGCGCGCGAAAGTGGGCGCCGAAAGTGGGCGAAAAAGTGGGCGCCGAAAGTTGGGCGCCGAAAGTGGGCGCCGAAAGTGGGCGCCGAAAGTGGGCGCCGAAAGTGGGCGGCGAAAGTGGGCGGCGAAAGTGGGCGGCGAAAGTGGGCGGCGAAAGTGGGCGGCGAAAGTGGGCGGCGAAAGTGGGCGGCGAAAGTGGGCGGCCGAAAGTGGGCGGCGAAAGTGGGCGGCGAAAGTGGGCGCCGAGAGTGGGCGGCGAAAGTGGGCGCCGAAAGTGGGCGGCGAAAGTGGGCGGCGAAAGTGGGCGGCGAAAGTGGGCGCCGGAAGTGGGCGGCGAAAGTGGGCGCCGAAAGTGGGCGGCGAAAGCGGGCGGCGAAAGTGGGCGCCGAAAGTGGGCGCCGAAAGTGCGCGGCGAGAGTGGGCGCCGAGAATGCTTGTCGTGAATAAGCCGTGCCTTGTCGTGTTTCAGTCTTCTCTCGTCGTGTTTCAGTTTTCCTAGTCGCGAGAACACCCGAACTTTGGCGCGTTCCGCGCTTCTCTGCGCATAACTGGGCGGCGCGCGGGCGTCACGGGGTCGCCCGGCGGAGCGCGGGCCCCGACGAAGGAGCAGGCCGCGGCGGAAGGGCGCGGGCCGACCACGCACTGGCACCGCTTGCACGTTCCGCGCTGTTCTGCGCGAGCCGGCGGCGCCTGGGCGTCGCAGGGTTGCTCGGCGCAATGAAGGCGCGCGGCGCGACGGCGCAGGCCCCGACGAGGGGGGCGCGGGCCAACCGCGCGCCGGCGACAACTTCCCGGCAAACGCCTTTCTGAGCGAACGAGCGGCACCCAGGCGCGACAGGGTTGCCCGGCGCAATGGAGCACGCGGCGCGACGGCGCAGGCCCCGACGAAGGGGCTCGGGCCCGCCGCGCACTGGCAAAAAGTCCACGTTCCGCGCCACTCTGAGCGAACGAGCGGCACCTGGGCGTCGCAGGGTTGCTGGGCGCACGCGCGGAACGACGGCGCAAGCCCCGACGAGGGGGGCGCGGTCCGGCCATGCACCAGCACGTGCTGCGTTGTTCTGAGCGACGGGCGCCTGGGCGCCGCAGGGCTGCCTGGCGCAATGGGGCTCGCGGCGCGATGGCGCAGGCCTCGAGGGGGCGCAGGCCGGCCACGCGCCGGCGCCAAGTGCACGTTGCGCGCCGCTCTGCGCGAACGGGCAGCACCTGGGCGTCGCAAGGCCGCCCGGCGTCAGCGCGGGCCCCGGCAAGGGGGCGCGGGCAGGCCACGCGCCGGCACCGAATGCGCGTTCTGCGTCGCTGTGAGCGAACAAGCGGCACCTGGGCGCCACAGGTCTGCCAGCGCCATGAATCGCGCGGCGCGACGGCGCGGGCCCCGACGAGGGGGGGCGGGCCCGCCACGCACAGGCACCATATGCACGCCCCGCGCCGCTCTGAGCGAATGGGCGGCACCTGGGCGCCGCAATGTCGCCCGGCGCAGCGGGGCGCGCGGCGCGACGGCGCAGGCCCCGACGCGTGGGCGCGGGCCGGCCACGCACCAACACCATGCGCACGTTCCGCGCCGCTCTGAGCGAACGGGCGGCGCCTGGGCGCCACGGGGCTGCCCCGTGCAAATCGCGCGGCGCGACAGCTGATCCAATGCAACCTCGGCCTCTTGACCGCGAAGTCCCAGGCCACCCGCGCAGAGCTCGATCGGATCCGACCGATAGACCTCGGCGACGCATCCCCGACCCCTGCCACTCACGGAGCTGACGCCCTCAGTCTTGGAGAGCACGAGCACGCCGGCAGCTGAACGGCGGGCCAGCTCGCTGACGCGGGGCACGCGCTTGACCTGCTGCGCGCGACCCTCAGCCCGGCCCCTCGCCCGGGCGTCGACCCCGGACGCGCCCTGGCACGGGGGGCCGCCCGCGACGAACAGCGCGCGCAGGTGCGGGGCCCCAGCCAGCAGAGCCTGCAGCACGCGTCATCGAACTCGACGCATTCGGACCAGCGCCGGCGCACAGCGCGAAAGGGGGGCTCGAAGATCTCAGCCGACGCGGGGAAACGCGCGTCGACGCCCAGCCCCCCCCCGCGCAACGCGGCCTCCGCCTATGACCCCAAACGGGTCCGACAGGACAGACGCCTGGCGGCCTGGACGGAGCTCTCGAGTCCAGCAGGCGCTCCTGCCCAACTCGGAGGCATCGCTGGCCGCGAAGATGTCGCGGGGCCTGCAGGCCTCTCGCCCTGGCCCCTCCTTGCCCCTGGGGGCAATGTCGCAGTCGGCGTCGGCGGCGTTGACCGCCGCCGCCCATCTGAGCCTTGCCTGCAGTCTCTTGTTGACTCAGGCGGCGGGCAGGGGGCCCCGGCGCGCCCCCATTCCCCCCGCGCTCGCCCTTGCCTCTGCAATTGCCCTTCTCGGGCCCCTCCAAGGAGGCGACCCGCTCGGCGACGGCGCCCCTCGTCGTCAGTGGGCAAGTCCCCCCGCGCCCCTTCGCCGCGGCGAAGGCGGGGCGCGGGGCTGGCAGGGTCGGGCGCGGCTCCTCATGGAGGCCCCCCGAGAACGCGACTCGGTCGCCCCCCGCCCCCCGCGGGGTCGACCCAAGGAGGGCCGGGACTTGCTATAACAGCCGTCAGACGTTCGATTGATTGCTCAAGTCTTATGATAGCACTTACTGCTTAAAATAAGACGCGATGCTTATAATAAGAAGTGGCTGCCTGTTATAAACGCTGAGTCTTCACAAGGCGCATATTTCACCCTAGTCGTGTTTATTGCAGAAACCATTACCATTATCGCTATACTCTTGCATTGGGCGTTTTGAAGAAAAAACAAAAAAAATAAACAAAAAAAGAAATATAAAAAGAAGGGAAAAAACGATTGCGATATGTATAATACCATGTATACAACACTGTTCGATATGATATCGTATATCACATTGCACTTGTGCCGTCTTGGAGCCGTCTTGCGCCGTCTTGGGGCCATCTTGGGCGCGGTGCTTCGCCCTGGGGCATCCTAGCCGCATTGGTGGCATATTCGGCTGTATTGGAGTGCGTGCGCGCGCCACTTGCGCGCATTTGCTCGCGCGCTCGTGCGCGCTTGAGTGCGCGCGTGTGTGTGTGCGTGTGTGTGTGTGCGTGTGCGTGTGCGTGTGCGTGTGTGTGTGCGTGTGTGCGTGTGCGTGCGTGCGTGCGTGCGTGCGTGCGTGCGTGCGTGCGTGCGTGCGTGCGTGCGTGCGTGCGTGCGAACGTGCGTGCGTGCGTGCGTGCGTCTGCGTGCGTGCGTGCGTGCGGTGCGGTGCGTGTGCGTGTGCGTGTGCGTGTGCGTGTGCGTGTGCGGTGCGTGTGCGTG